AGTCAAGTTCCAATTAGTCCATTTGTTAAGTTTCTAGGTTAATTAATTATTAATTAAGTTGGGCATCACCCACTACCACCTCAGGTAGTGGTGGTCAATCGCAGCTCACGGTGGTGGTGATGGATTTCCTTAATTATTCCAGTCAAAATACAATATTACAACGCAATCTCCAAATTAACACACACACACACAAATAACACATACACAAACCCAGCCACCCTTGTGGTCGCAGGTGGTGGCTGCCACCACCTTACGGTCGTGGTGGTAGCTTTTCTCATGAAATCCGGCCAAGCAACACCCAAACACCACTTCAACTGAGATAGACACCAACATAGCACCATTTCAAACACACCCACACATACAACTCCCTCTCATGGTGGCTGGTGGTGGCGGAAGGCGGCAACAGCGGTGCTTACAACGGCTACAATGTAACAATGGAAGAAAAAGTGGCGGACAACGATGGTAACAGAAACAGTCGACGTCTCTGACTAGTTGATGGTTCGCCATGGCGACCAAGATGTCGGCTAGAAACGACAGTCGTGGCGTCTGACGATGGCGTCGACTTCGCGGAAGCGATGCAGCGGTGACAGCGACACCAGTCGTTCCCGACCCACTCATCGGTGTTTATAACTTCCATTCAGTCTTTAGTAGTTCTCTCTCGGCCGTTCACGATGTCCGGCAGTGGTGTTCACGTTCCGATGGAGTAGAGGCAGGTGGTATGGTGGCGGCGTTTGGAAACACTCCGAGAGGGTGGCAGCTGGGTGTTTGAGATAGGGTTAGGGTTACCGGAGGTGACGGATTATATACCCTGACCCCCATAAAACTTCACTTCATAATGACAACATTGGTCCCTCTCTTCTGAAATAATTTCGAATTAGCTCCAATATTTACCCATTATACCCCTGCTCCCATAACTCCTTTCATAATAAGTCCAACAGTTACCAAACAGCCCCTCCTCTACAAATTAATTTCAACTGAAGTCCATATATTACCATTCAGCCCCTATCCTCCAAAGTCTCTTCAACTTAAGTCCAAATAATTTACCAAGCAGTCCCTTCCTTCATAAATATTTATAAAACCAATTTGGAACTTACACTTTTAACCCCCAACTTCTAAAATTATGACAATTAACTCCTCGAAACCAACACCTTGCTAAATTATTATTGATTTTAGGGCTACTATTCATTTATTAATTTGTATATTTATTTAGTTAATAAATGGGGTGTTACAATATAGGTATTTCTGCGTAACGCTTGGACATTCGCTTACTATACTTATAAAAGAGGCATACTTCAAAGCACCACATTCATTTAAAACTCCCATGACTTTTCAATTTTTTTTCTAATAATGACTATAAATTGGTTAATAACCTTAAATTAATGCAAAACCTAAATTTTAATCTTAAATTAACTAAACTTGAATATTAAACTACCATCTTTTAATTCTAGTTATAAAATTATGTCTTTTAACTTTTAACATGTTATAGTCAACTTATTAGTTTGGATAGTTTATTGAATGTGAATTATTAGTATTTTAAAGTCACAAATTTGAATAGTATATAAAATATTTCAATTATTAATTTGGATATAACGTTAAAGGGTTTATTTAAGTTTGAAATTTCAATTAAACTTAAAATAAAATCCAAAGATTATTTTATAAATAGTTAAAATATGTAAATTTTAGTGTTAAATGCAAAACCTCGATTGTAATCCCAAAATAAGTAAAAAAACCTAAAACTATTTTTATAATCATTAAGAGTTTCTGGATAAGTAGTTTAAAAATAACTTACAACAACAATAGTCAAAAGTAAAATTATGTAAAAAATTATATTGTTACCTTTAAAAAGATAAACAATGTTTGATGTTTCTAAATAATTACAATGATAGAAATTAAAATGTTAAACAAAAATTTTAAAAAACTTAACTAATAATGATAACAATTATAAATAACATTAAACCACATATTATTTTTAATTTTATTTCTGAGTATCATGCGAGTAGAACTCATTGAGACGATGGATATTATATTATTTTAATACATGTATACATTATAATATCATTCAAAATAATCAATATTTAATAACAAATTAGTATAAGAATTATTATATCAAAGTTTACAACACCATCATTATTATAATTAACAAAAACATATGTATTTATAAATATTTCAACTATATACTAATATTCAACGTAACAAGTAGGTATTCGCATAGTGTGTGTGTGTGTGTATATATATATATATATATATATATATATCATCTATATATCTATATCATTTCATTATCATTATATACTTATAAATGAAGCATTTTTCCCTTCATCACAATAATTAGAAACTCACATCACTACTAGAAAAACAGCCTTTTACGACGCGCAATTAATGACACACATTGATAGAGGATGCGCATTTGTGCGTGCCCCAAAAATTAATGTCAGTTTTCCAAAAATTGAAGGATAGAGGGCACGGATTGTTGTGCGCCCTAAAATTGGTGTCCAACAAAAAAAATAAAAATACACGGAGTGTGCTTATGTTTAATGCGTATCGTGTAAAGGTGTCGCTTTATAAATTTTTTCAAGAATGCGGGTTATAGCTGAAGGGGGGAAACGAAATCCAAAAAATTAAAACCCCGCCCCCACCTCCAACCCTCAGAAACCATAGAAACATTAATAGCAGACATTCAAACAAGTTTTCCAGCTTTAACAATGGTTGCATCCCTTCTATTTCTACGATCCCGAATCTCCCTTATACTTCCTTTCTCACCGATGCCTAATTTTATAGCATGCAACTCAACAATTTTCACGTTTCACGTTTAACTTTCAGTCTTTCACCACTACGTATACTTCACCACCTAAGCGAATCGTCACTCATAACGGCACCTTCCACCGTGATGAAGCCCTAGGATGCTTTATGACTGGCCTTACGTTAAAGTTCCACAGAGCCCAAATCATTCGAACTAGAAACCTTCCGGTACTATCACTACAAGATATGTCGACTCTTGAACGAAGATATCACCTCGCCTCCCCTTTGATCTGGCAACATCATGTCCGACGACCTTAGGATTACTTCTTCTATTGCTCAAATCGACAAGCCCTATGTCTTATTAAGGTGTGTTTCGGTTGATTTTCTCTTCCCTATGTTTTCATTCTTCTACCAGAACCCTATCTTGCTAAATCCTTTTTTCTTCTTGGCTTAATTTTTCTCCATTTGATTTATGATGGAAGGAAAAAACATAGAAGAAGTAATCCCTTTTTTCGATTCTTGTTAAATCCTTTTTTCTTCACGACTGCATCTTTAACTCCCTACTCTATCAAAGCTCTCTATATATATATCAATTGAAGGCACGGTCCCTAATTCTCAAGAACTTCATCCCAAAGAAGCCTAACAGTCAAGAACTTCATCCCAATCAATACAACCAGGGCATCGTTTGTGGTATATGTTCTTAAAGTTCATTCAATTTGAATATTTTTATCTTAAAGTTGGGTTTATTTGGAAATGCATCTTACTAACTTTTGATTAAAAAAGGTTTTTTTGTTGGGATCAGAAAATTGCAATATAGATCTCGCCCACAGGACACTTGCATCTACTAAGAGAAGGAGCCCATTAGGTTTTGCTTTCTTTTCACATGAATCAGCTTCTTTCTAAGAACAGGTTGGTTGTTTTAAGTCATATATTCCTAATTTGATAGAAAGTTCATATCTTTTTATCACTGAAATTCTATAAATATAAATTTTTATCTCCAAATTTGTGTCGTTCTTTATTCTGGGGATGCTACAGAAGAAGGAAAACTTCTTAGACTAAAGCAACAATTTTTCCTATCCAATGCATCATTGCAGGTTTGACAATCTTTTTATTTTTCATTTGTAACAATGGATGATTTATAAGTATTAAAAGATAAGATAATAGAGTTTGAATGTTTATGTTTTTAAGGACATTATTTCAAGATTCAAGGAAAGAAAAGAAGGAAGAAAACATGAGAAATGGTCACAAGTGTTGACCAGGGCTAGGGTGGGATGAAGCATGGGATGTGACTTCAAGGTGCTTTATAAATTTTATTAAAAAAACATGTTACTTTATGTTTTTGACCTTAAATAATAACAAAGAGGTTGTTGTTGAGTGTTGACCAGGTCAATTGCTTATACAATCCAGAACTTAAAGCTGAATGGGATTCAACCAAAATGGCCAATAAACAGAGATTAGCACAGTACATATCGAAAGTAACAGGCGAAACAATTGACCCAAATACCCTTTCGACATTCAAGTGAAGCGCATCCATGAATATAAAATATAGTTGTTGTATATCTTGGGTGCTGTTTATAGATACAAGAAACTAAAGGTACGTAACTTATCCTATTGTTTCTAGTTAAGTACTGAATAGATAGATAATCATAATCATAGACATGGAAGTGGAGGAAATATGGTCCTGAGCTCACGCTCACACACCCCTAGGTCCACTGCCAAGGCAGTAAGATATATCAGACTAGAAGTACAAATGAATTGATAAAGAAAAAGTTGTTAATGTTCAAATCATTGTGCGATGCATGTCTGTAAAATTTTTATTAAAGCATATATATGTAACTAAAGTTGGATTGTTTTTACAAAAAATTCTTGATTGTTTTCTAAACATATAGACCATTAAGTGATGATGAGACAAAAGCACACACACCAATAGTGATTACATATACTGAGAACAAGAAAGTAGTTTGTGTAGTTCAACATATAGCTAACAAGCAGATTGATAGATCATTTGTGTTTCATTAAGGTAATTGTCTTGTCTAATATCATTTATTCTTGTTCTTTCTAAATATATCCAAAGAACCACCATTCATGGTATCTCAAGGAACAAACTTCTTTCGTTCTCTATTCTATTTTAATAAAAATAATCTCTTTGATGGTGTTCCCAATCAATAATATAGATAGGTATTTGGTCCAAACTCTCAACAAAGGGACTTGTATTATGAAACTGTCTCTCCTATTGTTTTTGAGGTTCTTGAGGGCTAACCATGCTTCCTTTTTCTTCACTGCTTCTTCAGCAATGGAATGAGACCTATCTTCATTATCACAAAGTTGATCCAAAGCAAACATACTATTTATCCATGGAGTTTCTCCAAGGGCGAGCATTGACTAATGCCATTAGGAATCTTGATATTCAAGATGCATATTCCAGTGCTTTGAACAAACTAGGACATGAACTTGAAGAAATCACTAAGCAGGTAATCCTTTAAAATCTTTCTAACATGATTAATATGTTCTATTTTTTAACTATTGCATTATAAAATTTTTAGGAGAAAGATATGGCACTTGGGAATGGTGGTTTACGAAAATGCTTACATCATCCGAGAAAATCTTGAAGAAGGAAATGGCTGTAGTGAGAGCTTCTGTTGGGCTATCTGTTACTCCAGTTATCGAAAAGGCAGTCACGACACCTATCTCAGAGGTTTTCCAGGTAACTGATTGTAACATCCAATTTCTCATTTAAAATTAAAAAAAATCTAATTTAAAGTCTAAATTTGCATGCAGAGGGGCATAGGTGATAAGGCTATAAATCAGTTGGAAAAAATAGTTAATACTAAGCTTGAAGCAACTGTTTCAAGGCAAATTCAAGTCCAATTTCAAACATCTGGAAAACAAGCTTTACAGGTATGTGATACAACAATAATAGATCTTTCTAAATTATAAAATGATGAATTTTGTTTTTTAAATTCTAAACCCTTTTTTACAGGAAGCACTGAAGAGTAGTATGGAAGCTTCTGTTCTTCCTGCTTACGAGATGTCCTGCAAAACAATGTTTGACCAAATTGACTCCACATTTTAAAAAAGGAAAGGTTGAATTTATACATTCACCTTTATCATTTGCTTTGAGGGTAAGAATACTAGAAAACACAATTCCTTCCTTTTTTTTGCTTCTTTGATGTTCATTTTTGTTTTTTTTAGGATACTATCAATTTTGATATGAGGATTTTAGATCATAATAAGTCGGTTGTCCGCATGGCAAACTTCTGTGTGGTTTCTAGGCATACGGTAAGATGTTTGAATACTATAAATATAGGAAAAACCAACTAATTTTATCTTATATTTTGTGCTTTTTTAGGGATAATTTAGGCTCCATCAATTCAGCCCATTTATTTTTCTCTGTTTTGGCAAGTTAATGGTGTAGCACAATTCCACAGTGACATCTTAAAGGCTGAATTATTTGCAGATTATGTGTCAGTATGGCCAAACAAGTTTCAAAATAAGACCAATGGCATTATTCCTAGACGTTGGCTCAAATTTTGTAGTCCTGAACTTAGTCAGATCATAACAAAATGGTTAAAAAACAGACAAGTGGGTCACTAACCTAGACCTACTTGTGTGTCTGTGGGAGGTATGATTCTTTCATTTTCATTCTATTATTATGTAAAAATGACCAAAATGCCATCTATTATGAGGATTTACATATCTCCTGCTGATCGTTATATCTTATCCTCTTTCTCCGAAAGTTTGATGACAATCCAGAACTTCATAGAAGAAGATACTAGAACATTCTGTTAATGCAATGCAATGCATGTTGAAACAGGAAATGAGCCCTGAAGAGCGAAAAGCCACAACACCAAGGACAATCATGATTGGAGGGAAAGCATTTGCAACATATACAAATGCTAAAAGAATAGTCAACCTTATGGATGATGTTGGTGTTGTTGTGAACACCGATCCTAAAATTAACGAATACTAGGTAAAAATGGTTTCATATCTTTTTTTTGTTTTAGAACTTATTTATTATTGTAATTTTGTATTACATGTGGTTTTTGTGCCTAATTACAATGTATATGTGGCGGAGGTACTTATACCAGGAAGTGAGGTGTCACAACATATAAGTACAACTGGCACGGAAGCTAGTGGGACAAGTAATATGAAGTTTGCACTTAATGGATGTCTTATTATAGGAACATTAGATGGGGCTAATGTTGAAATCAGGGAGGAAGTTGGAGAGGAAATTTTTTTCCTTTTTGGAGCAACAACAGATAAAGTTCCATTTTATTTCTCATTTATTACTAAGTTAGGGTATATGGTTTTAGTTGAAAGGTGAAGATGAACAAAGGTTTGTCTCTTTTTATTTCTCATTTATTACTAAGTTTAGAAAATAAATGGAGACTAAATAAATGTCATAATTTTTGTTTATAGCTCCTTCTCTTCAGTTTGCTTCTTGCTTCCAATCTATGCCAGATAACAATGGAGATTGATAGATGTCGGTTAATAGCATCTTCTGGAGCATATAAAGCGGTAAGTTATTAATATTTTTTAAATAAATAAATGTTCCTCAATTTGCAAAATGAAAGGGAATAAAAGTAAAAAAAAAATGTCGATATTTTTAATTTGAAGGTGGTGGAGTGTCTAATTAGGTTGGTTGAAACCTGATGAGGTTCCCATGGTAAGTGTAATTTGGTGTTTTGCAAGTTTGTGTCACCACAACAACTAATTTATCATGTTTGCTGTGATACTATTCTGCTTGTGCAGCTTGTAGAATCTGTGCTAAGTAAGATCATGGAAGAGCTTGAGAATCGCATCACTAGTCAAGTTGAACTGGTAAAGCTTCTTAGCTATGTTGTTTCCTAATTTCCTTGCTTGGTGTTTCAAGTACATATAATAATAAGCTACATTTCCTTATATATAACTTTTTAAACAATTTTTTATAAGGCACAAATATACAATCTTATAACTTTCTACTTTATATAATGTCTAATCATTTGTTTTTTTTTCCGTTAACTGTTAACTTATAAGTAATTAGAGGTAAGGAAAAATTATAACCACATATGATTTGCAAATTATCAAATTTTGATTTATTAATACACAGGTAAATGAGGTGAAAGGAGAGGATGTTGTTTGATTGATAAAGAATTCTGCTACTCTATTTGGTTCGTTATTCACCTTGCATGTATCCCAAATATGTATTGAGCTGCCAACTCTCATGGATAAAGATAAGGAGGTGAAGTTTCTCTTTTGTGATTCCATTAGATATTTCTTATCATATACTCATTTAAGTTGTAAGTTTTATGGAAAATTGTAGGTTAATTAGCACATGGGGAGTACGTAACAAGATTTTTGCAAAGATAGAAAATATTGAGGTCGGATGCCCACATTTTCCAATTGTATGTAATCAAATTGTCTCTTATGTCACATTGGGGAGATTACTTTAATGTCACATTGAAATTTCATCGAATAGTATAGCGATAAATAGAAGAAATAGCAATGTACTTTCATCTATTATTTGTATGACATTAAATTTTATGCAATGGATTTTATTTTTTTGTATATGGTATTTTATTTTTTATTATGAGACATTAAATTCAAATTTAATTTGAAAATTAGTAAACAAATAAATAATATTTTTTTAAACATTTAAAATTATGATACGCAAAAATGTGTGTCATCTGCATTTATGACATGGCCTTTCTTGACAGAGGCTTTCTTGATACGCATTGCGTGTCATTAACATAAGCGTCGTAAGATTATGACACGCGAATGCGTGTCGTCTTCCTTTATGATAGGGCATTCCTTGATACACATTGCGTGTCGTAAACGCGTGTCGTAATTGTGCATCGTAAATGAGTGTCGTAAATGCGTGTCGTCTCTCTTTATAACAGGGCCTTCCTTGACGCGCATTTATGCATCGTCTGAGCCTTTTACGACGCGCAATGGATGTCGTAAAAGGCTGTTTTTCTAGTAGTGCATCATTTCTCCTTTCACCACATTCATTTGAAACTCCCATGACTTTTCAATTCTTTCTAATAATAATTATAATTTGGTTAATTAGGTTAAATAAATATTAAACCTAATATATAAACTAAATTTCAATATTGAAATAATATATTTAATATTACTTATAAAGTTATGTTTTTTAGCTATTAAAATACTATATATTATTTATTAGTTTTAATATATTGTTGGATGTAAACCATTATTCTAACACCTCAATTTTCATATATAGATTAAAAAAACAAATAATCGTTCCAACATCTTTCAAGATCAATTAGGAACTTACTTACAGACTAAACTACAACGGAAGCAAAATAAAATAAAATAAAGTCTTCAACCGAAGAGCTTCGGGTGTTACGTCTTTGCGGAAATCCTTTGTCGTCTTGTTGGTCAATCTTTCTCCCTAGCCTTCTTACTACCACTTGTTAAATACTTCCCTGGGTTACGCACATTTAAAGTTTCTAAATGGGTAAGCCTAGGGCCTAGTGAGTTCGTGTTGCACATATATGTCCATCAATTAAAAAAAAAAAAATAGTTTTATCATATAGTTTCAATAAATCATACAACAAATATATCACCCAATGACATAATTTAGGGGAACGATTAATTATCCAGAGAAAGAACCAAAGATTCATTTCCCTTCTCCTTGAGACAACTAATCATCCATTGACTCAAGTATTTTAAATACCCAAGGAAATGAGTATAAATCTCAATTCCCATCCCACCGATCACACACATCCGTCATGCTCACGGCGATTAAACACCCACCCGTTCCCACTAAACATGTCACCAAAAAAAACACGCATCGTAGATAACAAATCCAAAATAACATTTTGTATGCAACCATACTTATAATAAAACATATTGTCAATAAATAAATAAACACAACATAATAAACGCATGACAAACATTTATGTGCGACCAACCACAGAACACGAGACACTCACCTTGCAACCGATAAGTCCTAACCGAAGCTTTGTTGCTAATCTGCACCCTACATTCCACGAACAAATTTTCTAAGGCAATCGTCCTAGAAAATATCCTACACGTCCGTTTCGATTCAAGTATCCACATGTCTCAGTCGGCCAACCAAAATAATTTTACATTGACGTTCGCAATTGAACTATGCCTCTCTCTTTCCAACTAATTGATTTCATTTTTAATACTTAAAAGTTAAAACAATTTAAATCTTAAAAATACAAGACAAACTTGTGTCTTTTTTTTTATAAATAAAAGAAAATACATAGAACTAGCAAGTAATCAAAACCTCTATACCTCATTTACGTAATTTTTATTAAAATGCAATGGTTTTAAATGTAAGAAAATAAATATTGACACTCATTAAAACTATAAGGACCTTTTCCATAAATTCATATTCCAATATTAATGAAAAGGAAGAAAGCGTACGTTTTCCCAAAAATGGAAGTTAACACTTTATCAAACGTATAAGGACTGATTCCGTAAATTGAAATAGCATTAAAACAAGTGTTGCAAGTCTCGATATTTGACACATCCAATGACCCACCCAAATAAAATTAAACCCATAAGCACCCTTTCTTCTTAACCCGAAATTTTAACTCATTTCCACCATTTTTAATCTGTAAAAACTTTTAAATTTCCTCCAAATTGTTTCAAATAATTATATAAAAATCAAAATACTTCTCATCATTCTTTTGTTCAAGTTATCCATATTCATTTACCAAAATTTTACTCTAAATAAGATGGAGTCAAACATTTGTTTCAAGCAAAATTTATTACTTTAAAATTCTCATGAAACTGTGACTTATTGGCTTGAATCGAGACATGGGATTGAACAAGACACAAAATGCTTACATATAAACCTATTTTAACAACTATAACGAGTTGAAACTAAAGAATCTTACCTTAATTTTGAGCACCACTTCCGGAAATAGTTTACGAACTTCAAACCCCGATTTCTACTTCGTTTCTCCAACCTTTCTTGCAATTTTGGTGGGGTTTCTAGTCGATTTTTCGAGCTCTTTATAATGCCTAAGGCCTTGGAAGTTATAAACCCTTCAAATGCTCGAATTTATTTCCACAATGAAGGTGACGGGTTTGGACATTAACCCTCATAACTCTCTACTAATTAACTCATTAATCCTTGAACTAATCAATTTATTATAATGATATAATCTAATTACATATATATATATATATATATATATATATATATATATATATATTTTAGCTTTGAGTTATCACAAACTTCCCCCCTTTGAAAAATCTCGTCCTCGAAATTTCAACTAAACAACCAGAAAAGGGTATTTGGTCTTCTTATCGCATATGTTTCCCCATGTCGCATCTGACCCTTTATGTTAGTTTTACTGAGCATTCATGAATTGTATCTCCACATTCCCTAACTTCTTGACCAACTAATCCATTTCTCGTTGTAATCTCTTCCAAAATTATGACATGAAACTAAGGTTCTGATCATAAATAGACAAGCGAATGATCTCATTAATAACTTTTCCCACAAGTATATTTCACCCGATGACACAGTTTAAGGGAGCATTTTATATATCCAGAGAAAGAACCAATGGTCCGCTTCCCTTCCCACTTGGCACAACCCATCCGTTGTGCTCAAGCATTTAAATATCCAAGGAAATGAGTAACGTCTCAATTTCCTATCTCCCGCCGGTCACACCACACTAGTTATGTTCCCGACTATCATACACCCATGTCCTCATTAAACGTGTCATCATATATTAGGAAAACAATTCTAGAAAATTTTCCACTTCTCCTCTACCGAGGATTCTTCCGACTCCTCTTCAGTCCACCCAATACACCGAAGGTTACATCAATCATCATCAAATAAATCTCACTTGGTTCCTTCCTTACATACGACTTAGTGAATAAGTGACAACATTAATCTTTCGTAATTCGTAACGATCTTACACCTTCTTTGACTTTTGGTAATCCATGCGCATATATATCGTCCCCCTTTTTTTCGTGACGAGCACTACTAGTGCACCCCATGGTGATGTACTATATCGAATAAAAACTTTATCAAGCAGATCCTCCAACTGCTAAACAAATTCCTTCATCCGTATCAGTGCTAGTATAGTATATCACTGTCACATTTCGTTGTTCCAGTCTCAAGAATGCTTCCTCTAACTGCTAGATCGTCGTTCGAGGACAAAACATCTCTCTAACGATTCTTGCAAACTCATCCCATGAGATCCTATTGGTTGTATGCAACACCCTAATTGCTTTTACCCTCCCCATCAGTATAAAGCCTCATTTTTAAACATCGTCACGATATAAACCACATTGTCCTTATTTCCACACTTACCGGTATCTAATGTTTCCTCTATCTCCATGATCCACATTGATGATACGATTGGTCAACGTCCCCGCGACACGTTTGTGGTTTAAAAGTCATGAACGTCTTGTAACAATTACCTCATCATTTGTCGTTTACATCTTTCCGTAATCGTATTGCAACACTAGGGTCAGAAATTGTAGCCACATACCATATCCATAGCCTTCCTCTTCATCAACCTTGTTACCACCGTTCACATTCTATAGTGCATCTCGGTCCTGAACATTTACATTCGACAATGTAGATTGCATATCTTGCTCAATCTCGTCAATTAATTATTCTCGCGTAACCATATTTGTTGCACGACCTTGTCCGCAATCTTGACCCATACCACAACCTCGATTGGAGTTAGAGCTCAATTTCACCAATTGTGCTCACACCGGTGCTATGATGACTCCTAGACCTCTTCCCTTACACCTACCTCTACCTCAAACCTAACCACACCAACAATTGGAAATAGGGTTTACGGGAGTCTTTAGTTCTTCTTTGGGTGCAGAAACATCGGCTCCAAATTAGA